GTAGGCTCTAAAATATGAAGGGTTCAGTTTGCCCTTGCTCCCCAATCTCCTTCCTACCTTTGCTCTTGATAAGAGTCTGGGAGGCTAATGAGCTCCGGGGAGGCAATGCTCAAAAGCTGGAGGTGTGAGGCTGCCAAAATCAACAGGAATCAACTCCCCAAGAGGATCACAGACACACATATAGAAGACTCTGTAGTTACATATGTTCTCTGCATGACCTCTAGTATGGAAGCCTTGTGAATACCTTGACGTAAATTCTATTCCATAAAGTTTGCATTGTCTTTATTTAAAGGATTTCTCAAAATATCTATCCTTCCTTCCCTCCCCAGGCCCTCTTTCTTTCTTGGCTTCTTCTCCAACACAGTGTTAATTGGGACCCTGAAAGTCCTGTGTAATTTTCCTGCTTGACTCTCTACTTTCACTTTGTGTATATACAGCTCTTAAATAGTACACTAAGTATCTCAAAATAACCAATGGTATAATTTGCATATGGGAAATTTTTTGTGGCTGCTGTTGTAGGCTCTGAGCCCTGAGATTATTTGATTCATCATTATTTCTGGGATGCATTTATGTCTATTTGCATATGAACCTTTAGTTCACTCCTTTTCATGTTAGTTATGTTTGATATAGAATAGAAACATATCACACTGGTTTTTATTAAGTCTCCTGTCTGAAAACATTTGGTGATTTTCAAATATCAGCTTTACAGTTATTCAAAGACATCATTGTAAATGAGGTTTTATGGTTGATGCTCTCAAGCCTCAGGGGCAGGTGCAAATTCTGAACAGTGACTTTTCAGAGTTGCTGGGCTATCACTATTTGGACTTGAAAGAAAAGGCCATTTTGTACATTGGTTTGGTGGCTCATTTTGGTGTAGACAGGAATTCATCTAAGATAGGAGACACTACTGTAACTCGCTTACATGTATGTGCCCAAATATCCACTCTTATCAGCCTGGGAAGCTACCATGGTTGCACACAGGGGGAAGGAAAGGGAGCTGAGCCACAGGGTGATAAAAAAAGGTGCTCACAGGACACAGAGGTCAAGCTTAGAATGCAAATGAGTGACAAAGCAGCAGCTCCCCAGGAGAATTAACCACAGTGACAAAACTTGGAATTTAGCAAGATGCTAGGAGAAGGAGAGGGGAGGGGGAAAGCAAGAACACCTCTGATGTGCCTTTTTCTTTCCTTTTCTGCTTTTTACATGTGAAGAACAAGTTGGAAGAACTCAATAAACGCCTTCACACCAAAGGGTCTACAGAAGGTAAGGGCAGGTTCAAAAACCAACAAAGCAAGTTTTGACTTCTAGTTTTTCAAAATTGAAGACCAGAGCCGGGAAGATGGCTTGCCATTCTTCCAGAAGACCTGGGTTTGATCACCAGCACCCACATGGCAACTCACATCCAGCTATAACTCAAGTTCTAGGGGATCCAATGTCCTCTTCTGGCCTCTGTGGTCAACATGCATACACATGGGTGGAAAACATACACGCAGGCAAACCATCCATATACATAAAGACCTACCGACCAAACAACCAAACAAAAGACCATCAAAGACCATCCTATTTCCTTTATGCCCGCCATGATATATTTTTTTAAATCTCTATTTGTATTGCAAACTTTTTTATATCTATGAACACAAGGTACCAGCTGTCCAGTGGGGGAAATACTTTTAGTTTTTGAATTTCCTTCAATAGCTTTTAAACTCTAAGAAAAAGAAGGAAATCCACTGGATGTCTGATGGGTCACAAATGAAGGGCTTTTTTCTTGGGAATGGTAGTCACAGTGAAAACCATTAGCTCCTGCTGCTTATACCAAAGCTCAAATGCCTGAAGGAACAGCAGGTCAGTCATAATGGAGAAAGGTTCCTAGAAGAAATGAGATTTCTTAAACCCACTTTCCTCTTATTTTATATATGACAACAGCAAGCACATGAAAGCAAACTTCTGTAAGAGTGATATACGGCAAAAACCAGCCAAACACAGGACAGAGCAGCCAAGAATCCCAGTGATTTCTGCCAAGGAAGAAAGACACACCACATTTTAGTATGCTGAATGTAGGCTAAGTGGGTTCCCCTACACTTACTGTGGAATCCCAGTTGAAAGAACTGCCCCAGTCTGGGACATTGCACGCTCATGACAACACACAGAATTGTGTCCTAGACATCAGCACTTCTGCTTTCATCAAGTGATATCACTTCTAGTGACAGTTCACCAGCCCAAGTGAGACACATGCTGCCAGTGGTGCAGAGTATATTCTTTCCACGGGGACTCTATTCTGCAAATTACACAGCTGCAGGTTAGGACAGTAAATAATTAGGAACAATAAGACAATCTATCAGGCAAATTCTTCCTTTGGATTTATTTTGGCTATTTGTTTGTTTTGCTTTTTTGAGACAGGGTCTCACTATATAGCTCTGGCTGGCCTGGAACTCACTATGTAGACAAGGCTGACTTCCATCTTACAGAGATCTACATGCCTCTGCCTCCTGAGTGCTGGCATTAAAGGTGTGAGCCTAGCCCTCCCTCTTGATTTTGAAGTTCTGGGAAATTAGAAGAGCACATGGTGGGGGGGGGTGTCCCTCGACAGTTTCCTACAGTACATGGAATGACTTTCTGAGGCAGCCAGGGCTGGGCTAAAGAAGCACATGAAACAACACAGCATTCCTTCATGGAGTTCTAATGATGCACACAGATTTCCTGGGCCATCCCTTGAGCCCCATCAGTTTCCATGTGGTCCTCTTCATCATATGGTTTCCCATCTGAGTTAGCAGAGGTTGAGGAAGGCAACAGCAGGTCTTATTTACTTACCTGGCTTTCTTTCTGGGAAAGATCTTCATCTTTCTTCCTGTTCTACATTGCCACCCTCCCCTTTGCCCTTTGATCATTACAGTTTTACAGGCAGAACTTTGTTGGTGGGAGCTTCACGTATTCCCCACAAACTCTACAAATGACTCGAAAGGTTGTCACCTTTTAGTGCACTGTAGTGTCATTATGAATGAACAACAGCAATGACAACACAAATGCAAGTTGCCAGAGGGGTGGGGTAGGGAGTGTCATGATTTCCAAATAGTTGGTTAGCAAAGAAGCAGCACAGAGACACTCCTTGGAAGACTGCTGCTTTGTTCTTTCTGACAGCTCTCAGTGGACTCTTGGATTCGTGCTGATGAAAACTCCAGCTGTTCTTGCTCCTAAAACATTTCCACCTGACTGACAATGTCTGCATCTAGTCTATTGGTGCTATGGCATTGCGTTCACGTGACAAACATCACTCCCACCAAGCCCGGCAGGAAGAGGCCTTGTTCTGGTGAACCTGTGGCTGTCAGGCCTAGAGGATAAAGGCAGTGGCATTACTTCTATTCAGCTTTGCACAGAGTTGACCATAGTGTCTTACGAGTATCACTGAAGGGTCTTATTTATTTAATTGTCTCTCATACAACACAACCCAACCACAGCCTCCCCTTCCTCCATTCCTGTTAGTCCCTCTCACACCCCCTTCTCCTCCAGATTTACTGCTCCTCCATTTGCCTTCAGAACAAAGCAGGTCTCCCAGTGATATCAGCTGAACATAGATGCAATAAGACGAGGTACCAATTCTCATATCAAGGCTGGATGAGGAAACCCTGCAGGAGAAAAAGGTTCCCAAGAAAAGGCAAAAGAGTGAGAGGCAGCCCCCCCCCACTGTTAGGAGTACCACAGAAACCCCAAGCTAAACAACCACAGCATGTGTGCAGTTGACCTAGTACAGACCCATGTAACGTTTGGATGTATTTGTACGGGCAAACAATATGTCTTCACTCAGTATTGGTTGGGACCTTAGCTGGGATTGAGTCTGGAGTCTGAAAGAATGACACCACTGACAGTTTTTAACCCTTGTCTTCAAAAGGACAGTATAAAATATTAGGGGACAATCATGACAGCTATTAGCTCTGTCTCATTCACTTCTCCAATGGGAAGGAGGCACCTTCTGAGTCTTGAGTGTCTCATACACCACGCTTCCAGGTTCCCACTCAAAATGTCCAGAGTCTACTACAGTAGATTCTTGTGAATACAAATCACGTGTGTTTATATGTGAGCATATATACGTGTGCATGCAAGTGTGTGTATGTGTGACTGTGTGTGCATGCTCACACCTGCACATGCATTGGATTCAGAGTAACTACTTTGGCTTTCTGACTTTGGATACATATTGAGCATTAGAAAGCTCGTTATAGATCTAAGATTCTATATGTAAAGAAAAGAGATTTCTGGTTTTGTTTATTACTTCAAAGTAGAGATGCAGATAGCTGGTACTTGGTACAGTGAGTCAAGTGTGACATTGTAGCATTTCTGTGTTGCTGTTTCAATGTCATCTGCTGTGAAATAAGTCAGAAGTCTACGTAGAGCACATGTGAAAGTGGTTTATTCCAGTCATGAAGCAGCCTGGAGTCTATCTGAGGTCAAAAAGTAGTAAATTAGTCTTAGATGATGTTTTGCGATCAATGTTTAATTTGCTATTCAATCAAGACCTTTGTAAAATAAAGAGGAAGAAAACTGTAGTCTTCAAAACTGGCTTGATGAAGCCATACTATTTCTAGGTAGGGGGCAAATTCCGAATCTGTGTTGCATAACAGCTGTTGTTTTCTGGTCACAAGTAGCTAGTATAGTAGCAGATTTGCTGTGCAATGAAAACTCATTTCCTTGTGACACTGAGTCAGAGGATGAAGGAATGAATGGCATGGAAAATGTCAACTCTCTTCACAGGCGATTCTGGCATTATAGCCCGAAAAGGAAGAGCCGCACTCATAACTATTGCCTTTGTCTTTTCTCTGTGTCTACAAAATGCTTTGCATTTTCTTAAGCAAGGATCTGCTGTCACCTTTGTATGCAGGGGAACGTAAATCATTTTAATGCCTATGTACATTTGGTACTTTACTCACCATGTGAAGTTAATTTATATATTAAAAAAATGACAGTCATTTTTGCTGACTGGTTAGAAGATTCCTGACTGTTGCTGGGAGCTCTCTGGGGCCTTTTCAGATCCTGAAATGCTTCCTGTTTCTGTTAGCTTTTTGAAGACTCTGTTGTGCTAAAGAAGCGAGGTGGCGTGCTTGTTTTTCTCAGTATAAGCACATCTTAGCATGTATTACAGAAAGCACTGGGAAAGTTCCTAGTTCCATCATTGCTTGTGATTTATAGTAGGATTCAAGGTCTTGATGATAGACACTAAATTTGAATAACGTTTATCTCCCAGTGTTCTTTGCTGCTGTTGAAGTTGAGCATGGACCCTTCAGTGACCAGGTATAGCTGTAACCATGGCTGCTTTGGGTGAAGACGGAACTTGGCATTTTCTAGTCTTTGCTTCTCAGTGATGTAACATTGGGAGGTTAAGTGTTTCGAGTCACAGAGTTAGGAAGTGCTGAGATGAGATTTAACATGGGCCCGGTGTTGCTTTCTGAGAACGCTCTGAGGGAGTTGTTAGGAGAGACTGTCTCAAGCTGCAGTTGTTGCTGACCTGTTTGCTAATAGATGCTTTGATGCAAACACTAGTCCTCACTGCAGATTCCTGATGATACCTGGCAGGTGCTGCTTGAGCAAAGTTTGTGCTCACTAAGAGCTGTGCCTTCATTCCAGTACAACCAGCTTTAATCCCAGCACTCGGGAGGCAAAGGCAGGCAGATCTCTGAGTTCGAGGTCAGCCTAGTCTACAGAGCCAGTTCCAGGACAGACTCTAAAGCTACATGGGGAAATGTCTAAAAAAAAAAAAAAAAAAAAAGACAAAACAAAAAGAATAACTAGCTGGAAGTTGGGGTCTAGCATTTTCATGGGTCATACATTTGAATTATCTTGTGTAAATTTATGTCATCACTAGAGGTGACCCTGGTAATCCTAGTCTGTCTCAAAATTCTATTAGGCAGGCCACATTAGATACATAGATTTTTTTTTAAATTCACTTGTCAACTGTTTACTAAGTAGTCATATGACTGGTATCATTGGAGACAGACTATAATATATCATGGATTTAGTCCTGGTCTTCATAAAGCGATTGTTCTGTTGCAAGGTTTATCAAGCAGACGAATTACAGCAGAATGTTTCTTGTCTGGTTTGTTTTTGGTTTTTCGAGACAAGAGTTTTCTGTAGCCCTGGCTGTCCCAGCAGACGGCTGGCCTTGAGCTCCCATTGATGCCTGCCTCTGCATCCCAAGTGCTGTGATTAAAGGAGTGTGCCACCACCGCCATCTTACAACTGGATGTTTTAATGATGGAATTGGAAAGCAAGAGGTATGACTGGAATCATGGAATCGGTTACCATGGAGGCTGAAATGGCAGTGAATGACAATAGGTGCTTGTAAGGCAGAGAAAGAGAAAGAGGAAGGACACAGGAAAAGAAAGGTTTTGTTTGGGAAGGGGAAGACTCTGTGGTAAATTTTAAGCATATGTTACTGTGGGAGTGACTTTTTAAGAAAACAGAAAGGGAGAAGGATTTTCATGTGGCTCCAAGTTTATCTGCTAAAGTATGAATCAGGAAGCAGAGGAGGGAGACCAAACACAAACTTGAGTCTGAATGCTTAAACTTTGGAAGACAAAAAGAGTGAGTTCTGGGGAAGTCCACACCACTTAAAAGATTCGCCTCACGGTCTTTTGCCAAATGTGGTATCTGGAGGGCAAGGCTGGCCTATGCTAAAATGCCAGAGACGCTACTGTAAACAGGGAGCATGGGTGTGGAAAGCACGGCCGAGTCTGCAACACTGGGTAGGAGGAACTATGCCTGGGAAGACATGGACTACACTAGATCCATGTTAGGAAATCACAAGAGGGCTCTAGGAAGGTGGCTCTCTTGTGAAGTGCCTGCAGCCAAGCAAGAGCACCTGAATTTAGATACCTAGCAACCATGTGTTTAAAAAAAAACAAAACAAAACAATAAAACAGGCCTGGTGTGCTTCTGTAACCCCAGCACTCCGGAGGAGGAAATATTTGCATCGTTAGACTTTTCTAGTCAATCAGCGAGC